AGGTAACACAATAGATCCTTTGTTTAGTCTAGTTTTGAAGCGGTTTAATAGATGTATGGTGTCTTGTATCATAGTAATAGACTGAGTAGTGTCAGCAAAATAAAAACTCTCAAAGCCTAGAGGAACAGTTGGGTTAGGTGGGAACGTCGCTGCACGCTCTGCCTTTAAGCATTTAACGTCTCCATCAGTCGAAAATCCAAGAAATTCAATACCCTCTCTCTCCAAGTTAGTTTTTAAAAAATCCACCCTTTTCGAAACATGCTCAGCAGTAAATCTGTTGTCTGTGCCAAAAACGGCTAGACAAAAGGTAGGGCATAAGGAGCTCATGGGTCGAGCCATAACAACATACCCGATGTTAGCTGGAACACCCTGTACAAAATGTTTGGCAATTAAAGCCGCAGAAGTGGCTGGGAATTTATTTAGAATTGGGGTCCCGTGGACCTCCGATACAGGAAGAACAGGCCCCACAATCTGATTAGTTTGCCCATCCCACTCGAATTTGGATACGAGCCGCGTACCATCCTCACTGAGCCAAACTTTGAGAGGCAAACCGCGTGAATCTAGAAACTGCCTTAGCTCTTGAAAACGGAAAACTCCCTCTCTGATGGGCTCGGCACAACTATTAACATACTTCCGTACCTGAGACACACATGGCAGGGAGTCAGGCAAATTAATCTGGAGAGTTTCATAAAACAACGGGCCGGCAATCAAGAATGTGTATGCGGCAAACATATAAATGTCGTCAGAAAACCTGTGTCCCTTTTTAGACTTGTCTGAGTTTTTTAGAGCAGTTTCATACAAAATTTTTAAGAGAAAGGTTAGTTTTGAATTTACACTTTCTTCTCTCTCAGAAAAGTTCTGCAGAAGTTCCTGACAATATCCAGGCAAACTGTTGATAACATCCTGCTGTTTGGCAACAACAGCTTAAATGGATTCCAAAGGTGGGTAATATCCAGTAATGAGGGCCTGGCCAACTACATGGCTCTGAAGAGCCCGTTTATTTCTAAAGTCACGAGAAAAGTATTCAGATTTATTAGACATAGTTGGCTGGGTTTGGGGGAAAAAACATGACCCAAATTGCATTCCCCTTCTTAAAAACCCTCGCGCTGCGGCGATTTCTCTGAATCTCTATTAGAGCCTTCGATTTGAGGACTCACAGGGCCATTATTATCAATTGCACCAGGGACTGTGGTGTCACTATCATTAGTAATGTCAGATGGTTCAGAATCAGATCTTATATCTATCTGATCTGGATCAGACAGATCAACCTGATCATGGGCTTTGGCTCCTAATACCATATCAATAGTAGGTTGACCCTGTTTTACTTTTAAGTGACCCTGCACATGGCGAGTCCAATTAGTAATCTGCCAATTCTTAGTACCATACTTAAAACAAGCTTGTTTTTTCCCACACATGTAGCACTTAATTTCAGCCTTCATTCCAACTCCATTGGTGCTCTCAAATGTCTTTACACAAATATCCATACTTTGCACTTTAGGGGTTATTTCCCTAAAGTCACTTTTACCCTTACAATAGCTTTTAAGTGATCCACGAATAACACGGACTTCGTGAAGTACGTCTAAGGTCGGAACAGTCGGTAAAGCATTGTCACGCTGCGTGCTCGAAGACACGGCACTAGTACTTAACATTAGCTGCTTGCTAGGTCGAGCTGCATCATCGGATTTCAGTGCCGAAAACACTCTTTTAGTAGCCAAATTTTTGTCTACCAGCTTGTGATTGTTTTTGACATAATCAACTAATTGATAGATTAACTTCCTAGTTCCAAGACCAAATCTGAAGTTTGATGCTTCCACATCTTTAGGAAGATACTTCGCGATCGCTGTATTAACTTGTTTTAACAGCGTTCCGTCAGTCACTGATGTTTCTATCGCATCAAGGTCATCCTTAGACAAGTCTTTAAAAGATATAAAATTTCCAAAGCCTTCCCTGTCCAGCAACATCTTCACATACTCAGGGACTGGAGTGTGAACAGAAGTTTCAAGAACTTTCCACATCTTGGAAACAGACTCCGTGGACTTCGAGCAGGTGGGTGCTTCTGGGGCCGGTGTATTCCCTGCCACCGAGGCTCCTGAGGAAGACACTGATGCTGGTGAGGAAACCTGCCCCGTGGACACCGCAGGAGGCATCGAGGAAGGCACAGTTACTCCAATCGTTAGCGACACAGGCAACAAAAAAGGCGTAGGTGGTTGTGTGCCCAGCGGCGTGGGCTCCTTGGACTCGTCCCTAGACGACAGAGGATCGTCGCCTTCCTTACCGCCACACTCCTCCTGTAACAAGACAAAAAACGTATTCTTAGCATGCAAAATAAAATGAACCTGGCGAAAAACTTGCACCACGACCCGAAGTCCACTGGCATCGGGACGGCGGCAGCATGGCGGCGCAGCACCTGCGGCGTGGCGCAGCACCTGCAGCGTGGCGCAGCACCTGCAGCGTGGCACAGCACCTGCAGCGTGGCGCAGCACCTGCAGCGTGGCGCAGCACCTGCAGCGTGGCGCAGCACCTGCAGGACACCTTGGCGAACAACTTGGACCCCTACAGCAAGCTCACTGGCAGCGGCGCGGCGGTGGCGCGGCGGCGCACCTGCAGGACACCTTGGCCAACAGCTTAGACCACTACAGCAAGCACACTGGCATTCACTGTAAAAAAATTCTATAGTAGATTTCCTATAAATGTCTATAACGCTATTAACATATACATGTCTGGGAATTTTCCTATACACGTATGTCGGAGGTCTACCATGCGTGACTAGTAATTTTCCCATACAAGTATAGGAATTTTCCTAAACACCAGTGTAGTGGTTTTCCTATACATGTATAGGAATTTTCCTGTACATCGGATGCATGTGAAAATAGAAAACAATTTTTTCCCCTTTTCTCTTGGTTTTTTCCCTTCCTTTCTCACCTTCCTTTCAGATTACAGTAATCACATGTAAGTAATCATTGAAGTAATGATGAAATACCTTACCGGACGAAGAGTTGAACCTCGGACTTCTGGCTTGCGAACCCGTCACGCTGACCACT